AGCTTGGGCAAGTTTATCCTCTGGTTCAGTTTTATACATGTGAAATGAGAATAATAATATATCTTCTTTATGATGATGTCTTGAAAATGAAATGAGCTAATAAGCGAAAATCATAGAGAAAACTACCTAGAATACAGAAAAGACTCCATAAATTTTAGCTATTCTAATTTCATTAGTCTGATGATTAATATCTATTTTTATAACAACTAATAGCATCCTAAGGAACATGTGTCCCATGGAATAGAGAAGTGCTAGTACAGAAAGAAGATCTTATTTCAACCCCAAAAAAGAAGTTAGCACCCTCTGTATCATAAAAAGCACTACTGACAAATCAGTTTTAGTCTCTAATGTCTATTTAACTTTCCTCTGTATGTTTCCCTGTCAGTAGAGTAGCTAGTCCTTCTAGCCCCTAATAGGGTAGAATTCTAGGGAAAATGCAATTACCATGATAACCAGCAGCTGTTGCCTAGTCCTGGTTCCAACCTGATTTCTCTTAAAGTACTACCTTCTAGTCAGAGGCCCTATCAGATTCAAAGCTGTCCTCAAAGGACTTCAGGTTAGGAACCAGAGCTGCCCATCAACATGGATATGGAAATGACCTTGTACTGCCTCACTCTAGAATTCTGAAGCATGCCGATGGGAATAAACTAGCAACAGTAATGGTCATGCCAGCCTGCAAGCTGCCTACTCCAAAGAAGCCCTCTGCCCACTCCATGGAAGTCCTCTGATACCCCTCTGCCTTGGTTTCTGGTATCAAAGCTTGACCCATTTCTGCTGCTGTGATCTGCAATGCCCAAGGAGCCCTGTGCTACATGCCAGGCACTTCACTGGTCTGACTTGCCAGATCTTTCTAAGGGCTAAACTTTTCTTCAAGTCTTTCTCATTTGTACAAAGCCCCAGGCTACAATTTCAATGCCTATACCCACCTTTGCTCAAATTTATTGAAATATCTCAAATTTAGACCTTACCTTGAGTCTAGTCTTGTTCCAGCAGAGATAGGGCTGAAGCTTCTGTCCTTGAATTTGTGCTATTCATGCCTTTTTGCTTCCCTCCAGCTCAGTCTTTTAGATTCCTATGGTGCCCCATGGCCATGCCAATTTGCATCTATCCAGTCATCTAGTCCTCCAGCATTTATCAACTTCTCTCTACAAACAGGCACTGCTCTGAGTTCTCTAGGTGCAATATTGAACAAAAACAGACACTCCCTGTTCTCATATAGACACACTTTAGTCATGGAAAAAAAAATAAATGAATCCAATCATTTCAAATTGTAAAAGTACTAAGCAAAAAAAAAAAAAAAAAGGTGAAAGTTGTAAAGTAATGGTGACTGGGAGAAAGGGATTCAGTGAAGGAGACAGGTTAGGCCTCTTGGGAGTGGAGACACCTGAGCTGAGACCTGCAGGACAATATGAAGCCAGCCATGCAAAGACCTCATATAGAATAGTCTCATCAGAGCAGAGCCAACAGCCAGTGCACAGATGCTACAGGCAGAACCAGCCTGTGATAGGGAAGGGAGAAAAAGGCTAGTGAGTGTGACTAGATCAGAGTAAAGGACAAGAAGAGAAAGTTAGAAAAGAGGCTAGAAAGGGAAGCAGGCCAGATGGTGCCCATCCTCACAGGCCAAGATAAAGAGTTTGTATTTTATTCTGATTGCAATAGGAAGCCATGGAAGAATAAGTATGACATGAGGAATGATAAGTCCATCCCTCTTCTTGAAGCTGCAACAACTACAGTACATATGCACTCAGCAATATGTCAGGGATTCTGAACCAAATCCTGCATTCTGTTTGCTGATAGTCACACAAGGGATACTACAGTGCTGTAACCGAGTAGAAGCTAAAATTATAATACTACCACCAAAAGCTATCCCTGTTGGCCTGAGAAATGTTATAGTGTAATTCAAGAAGGCAACATTTCATATATGTTAATAGCTCTCATTAATAAGATAAACCCTTCCCCTTGGGATTTGGCAGTAATAACAACTCCAGCAGGAGTGGCATCCGAATCCTAAAATAACAGCTTTACAGAGAAAATAGAATTGCTCACGGTGACTACCTCAGCCTGAAAAGTAAGAGAATTGGAAATGTAAAGATAGTATCTGTAACAAGTGTCATTCTACTACTTTACAGCTCTTGCCAAAATAGCTCTTTAAAAAAAAATGTACATGAAAGTGAGTTTCCAATTAAAAAAATAAATCTCAAATATAGGCAAATAGTGTCCCTACTTCTTGCAATTATAATAAATGATTAAGTAGGTGTCACAAAGATGGAAAGGCAGAGCATCTCTTCCAAATCCTGAAAGACACCTTCCTCATTTTAACTGATCCTTTGTCTGGAGTGAAGACTTGCATAGGGAAGCTGACTCCTGGAGTGTCCCTGATAAACTACATCTTTCCAGGGGTAAGAGCAGAGATGAAACTTTAGCAGACATTGCTCATAAGATTCTGCCAATTTTCTCTATACTTCTCAAGCCAGTGTATGTGCTCCTGACAATAACATTCAGCAAACAGCCTAAACTCAGATGCAGTACAATCACCAAGAGAGGACAATGAGCAGTTAATATCCAGACTGTTTAGGAGCTCCTATGATTAAGATGCTGAGAGCATACTCATGCCACCAATGACAGGGGCTTTCATGCACCTGTGTTTACATGAGACTGGGAGGGCACTTACAGAGGACAAGACATTTTCTGTCTCATGGAGAAGAAATACAGGTTAGCCCTCTTCTCAAATCCCTCAAACTTGGTTTAGATTACTCTTTTGCTTTTAGTATCTTTAACACTTGTGTTGAGGTTACTTTGTAATAAAAGTACTCTCAATTTGTATCACACATGGATGACTACCTTATCTCCCCCAATATGCCATAAACTCCTCGAAGACAGAGTCATCTCTCTGGCTGCTCGCTTACCCCTGGTATAAAGTTTTCTAACAGTACATAAGAGAGACAGGGAAATAAAAAATAATAGTCTTCCAGCTTCACTCCCCCAAAATAACTACTGTTAAGTTTCTTGTAATTCCCTCCATTAAACTTTGTGGCCTTACATAAACTTTTGTGTTATACACTATTTAATCCATGGAGTAAAACTTAGAAGAAACGTGGATTGATATCACATAATTTTAAATCATTTCTAATTCAAGGAAGTATACAAATAAAGAATTATAAATTACCATAAAATAAGGGTACATATGTGGATGTACCCAGTAGATATATCCTGCCTCCATCCACCACTCACACCCCGTGCCCCCAGCTACCAAGACTTTAGTAAGCACTGCAGTTGTGTGGCATGTGGAGCAACCCTAGCACAGGCCTGGTGAGTTCAGTGCAGTCTCTAATCCACCAGGTATTCTGAGGTCAACTCAATCCATCCTTTTGGATCTCATTTTCCTCTCCCCCACAACAAGAAGGTGTCCCTTCAGGTCCTTTTGATGAAGAGTCCAGGATTGAAGCTGATCGAGTAACACCAAATACAAATAGGCATGCTAAGGCCAAAGACAGAACTTTTTGTCAGGGCCCAAGATAAGAAACAGGCAGAAAATCATAGAAACAACCAATGCAACAGATTTCTAAGAGATTATGGGCATAAATTAAATTGAAGCAGCTATTTTTTAAATCAATTTCCTGAGATATAATTCCTAGAAAATCTTAGATGTCTCATTTGACTACATACTAGAGATACACCAAATAATATTTACTGCTCTTTAAGTTACCTTAGTATATGTCAGCAACTCTCCAGAAGCAGAACCATATTTATTCTTTCTAAGAAATGCTACAAAATTACATATAAGAGGTTGTGAGGGGAAGGGGGAAAAAAAAACCAAGGGAGAGAATTAAATTACAGCAGATGGGATAGAGAGAGAAGATGGGAAGGGAGGGGAGGGGGGATAGTAGAGGATAGGAAAGGTAGCAGAATACAACAGTTACTAATATGGCATTATGTAAAAATGTGGATGTGTAACCGATGTGATTCTGCAATCTGTATACGGGGTAAAAATGGGAGTTCATAACCCACTTGAATCTAAAGTATGAAATATGATATGTCAATAGCTTTGTAATGTTTTGAACAACCAATAAAAAAAAAAAAAGAAATGCATGTGGCCTTCCTACAAGCATCTGAAGGCTTGTGATTACTTTTCCATTGTCATGAGTCACAGATGTGTTCAATTATACTCAGTATCTACAGGGCCACAAGTTAGGCCACTAGTTAACATCTTAATTTAATTTTATTTTTTTTGGTACTGGAGATTGAACCCAGGAATGCTTAACCACTGAGCCACATCACCATTTTCAGAAAGGGTTGCAGTAAATTGCTGAGGGCCTTTGCTAAGTTGCTGAGGCTGGCCTCAAACTTGAGATCCTACTGTTTCAGCCTCCCAAGATGCTTGGATCACAGGCATGTGCCACTGTGCTGGCTTAACATCTTAATTCTCATTTGCCTTCTCACTGACAATTAGACGGCTATTAAGAAGAGAGTCTTCCTGCTGATCATCGTACTGGTAAATCTACATGCGGCACTGCATTGTACCGGGAGCACAATTAAATATCCAGGGGAGTGGGAAGTGCTAAAAGAAGGACAGAGGAGAGAGAGGGAAATGGGAGTAGGGAAGATACTATCCAGGTTAAAGATTTTGATTTCAGGCAGCTGACATCAGTAAAGCCAATAGTAACGGTTGAATATTCTTGCTCTACTCTAGGGCAAAGCATAGAGGAGGGAAGTGGCATCTGCAAGTGTTGTTGCCACATCTTCTTGTTTTTTTCTATAAGAGGCAATAAAAATGGAGGTTCAGAGAACAAGCCTTGGGTTCTCCCACTGCTAGGCAACTCCCTAATCAGTTCTGAGTCTCCATTTGTTCATTACTTAAAATGAGGCACAGCAACACGTACATTATGTTATTATTACTACTATTTGAAAATATGAATTTTCTTGGGCTATCTCCTGTGAAGGATCCTTGAAAAAATAATTACAAGTTAAAATGAGAAATCACACTCTAGAGTATCCCTTACCTGAAATGAATTCATTTGGCGAAGGGATGGTGGCAGGATGGCATTACTCCTTGATAGTATCAACAGCAGCTCCAAACAGGTTGCAGCAGGCAGGGTTAATGAGTGGACACTGATGTCACTTTCCCAGGAGCTGGCAAGCCTGGAACACCAACACATTGACTTTGATAAATGCAATGTAATTATTTTTCAAATCTGACCTAGAAGAAGAAAACTTTCAGTTGTGGGAGAAAATAAATGCAATGTACAAAAATAAAGTGTATTAAAATTTTACAAAGAAAATGTCCAAGACATTTTTATAATGTTGGTAGTACAAAGCAGATGGATTAGGCAATTATCAGGCCACCATTTCTTACCCAATGCATAAGAGTCATAGCAAAAGCACTTATCTTTGTGGGATCTGTTGGCAGGGAGGTGGGGAATAATGGCTAACACATTGTGGTGATTCCTATGTTCTATATGCTCTGCTCTACGTGGAATATCTTGTTCATACCTCAACAACTTAAGCAAAGGAACTATTGTTATCCCCACTGTACAGATGTAGAAATGGTTTCTAAGCCAGACAGGCCTTTATGAAATACTAGTTCAGTGATTTTCAAACTTGTGAAAAGTAAAGAATCCTTTTGTTTAAACAAAAAAAAATCTTGTAACAGTTCCAACTTACAATACAAATAAAAGCAAAGCTGCTCTGTTTGAAGGGCAGCATTGGCAGCAGGCCTCTTTCATCTTCCAGAGTGGCCCTTGAAGCGGCTCTGTTCTATCCTGTGGAGCCCATTTGAAAATCCTTTCATTTGAGAGATTGGGAAATTGAGGTCAAGGGACTTGTCTGAGATGAGACAGAGGTGTAGAAAGTGATAAGGGTGGGCCTAGAATCCTGGTTTTCTCCTCCTTTCTTTTTACTAGTAAAAAGAAAAAATCAGGAAATAATGAGAAAATAACATAATAAGAATAATACAGCCAGGCACAGTGGTGCACATTTGTAATCCCAGCAGCTCAGGAGGCTGAGACAGGAGAACCACAGGTTCATAGCCAGCCTCAGCAACATTGAGGCCCTCAGCAACTCAGTGAGACCCTGTCTCTAAATATAATACAAAATAGGGTTGGGGATGTGGCTCAGTGGTTGAGTGTCCCTGAGTTCAATCCCCAGTATCTCCCCTCACCCAGCAAAACAGAATAATACAAGTAATAGGCTTTTCATTCTTCTACTTATCTATTTCTTGCCTGATCCCCTACTGAAGTGTCTCCTACCACTTCCTAATTTTTAAGAGAAATATATAACCATATAATGTTTTATACTTATTTTATAAGGATGCATGTATTCTTTTGCCATCTCCATAAACTCATGTCTGTAAAGCTACCTTTGCCCAACCCAAATCAGTGGTGAGTAGTGGAGGTTTAAGGGGCATGGGTGATGAAGGCCATAATGGATTTTAGTGCTTTGTAGGAAGAGTCATGACAAACAGTACCAGTTCCATGCAGCCACAACACCAATCAGGTTGTTTATTATGCTAATATATTTCTGATGTGGGTGGCAGAGTTAAACCGCCTCTGAAGCATTTGCCGGTAAGCTGAACCCGAATGGGCACTGCTCACTTTCCTAAAAATGATCTAATTTCAGCAAGGGCATGTTTGTCTTGTCTGGTTTTTTTTTTTTTTTTGTTCTGTTTTGTTTTGGTTATACATGGCAGTAGAATGTATTTTGACATACATACATATATGGAGTATAACTTCCTATTCTTGTGGTTGTACAGGATGTGGAATTACACTGGTCATGTATTTATTCATATATGAACATAGGAAAGTTATGTCTGATTTATTCTACCGTCTTTCCCATTCCCATCCTCCCTCCCTTGCCCCCATTACCCAGTGGACCTCCACCCCCCATCCCCACCCCCACCTATTGTGAGTCAGCATCTGCATATCAGAGAGAACAGTGGCTTTTGGTTTTGGGGGATTAGTTTATTTCACTTAGCATTATAGTCTCCAGTTCCATCCATTTACTGGCAAATGCCATAATTTCATTCTTCTTTATGGCTGAGTAATATTCCATTGCGTATGTGCTTCTCTGTGTTTTAAAAATTATTATTTTATATTGACTGACTATTAATCTCTGTGGTTTTGCTCATTATATAGCATTCTCAAAATTTCTGCTGTCTTTTCAAACTTCTTTCTGTCACAGTTGACTCTCAAGTTCACTCTCCACCTACCTTCTTATGCCCTCCACCATGCTGTTACTTTCCATCTCTGTGTGCTCTGTATGGCATATACAGTCTTCTGGGCCTGCAAGGCTACTCTCTTTCCTGATGAACCTCCACTCATCTTGCAAGAGCCACTCAGGTGTCATTTCTTTTGAGAACCTTGGGTCTAACCTGCCTAATATCATATTTATATCTATTATAACACTTACTAGTGCCCCTCTTAGTATTTTTATTCTTTCTAGATCAGACATGAGTGGATTTCTCTAGCTTTGTAGGCTCATTTGGGAAAAAAGATTAGAAAGCTGCCTCAAAATTGCATTTCTGTAGATGCACTCACATATTAACTTTCTATTGACTTTTTTTTTCATTTACATTTGTATGTTTAAGAAATAATTTAAGTGTTTAGAATTTTTACCCTAGACAGCGCCCCCACCATCTACAACCAGGATCACCAAAGCTACTTTCATTCTGAATTTTTTTTTTTTTAAAGTAAAGTAAAAAAGGTTTTTAATTTTTTCTCAGCAAAGGCCACTGGACACTTCCCAGGACTGTGAATGCCCCTTGGAGGTCTTCTGGGAATCTCCAAGATCTAACCCAAGCTGCAGAGCTTCAGTAAGAGTCCCCAGGGATGAGGTGGGCTGTGCCACCTGTGGAGGGGCCTGCTGGAATACAAAGTCCTTATCATTTTCTTTCATTTTTGGTAGTAATATATTAAAAGATAAATTATACAAATAAATATTTTGACAAGAGGTATCTCCGTTTGGCATCACGTAACATGTTTTTCATAACAACATATGCTTAAATTTTATCAGCCCAGGCCTTAGGCACTTAAAATTCAGTTTATCTTAAAATGATCATCAAACTGGTCATGTGGAGTTCAGGGCATGTGTGCTGACAAAGCCCAAGGTATCTGCCTCAACTATCCACCCATGGCTCAAATATCAGTACCATGTCCGTCAATGATACAGGCACTTTAAGAAATACAGGGCAAAATCTGGATTACTTATGGCTTTCCTCCAAAGACATCATAGGTTATTAAACCTAACTCAGTACTCTTCCACTGTACACCAACCAGAAGGATACTTCAAAAGGAATGATGAACTAGACATCAATTGAAACCTATTTCCGTGATTTCCTGGGAAGGAAAAGCTTTCCTAAGAAGTCGGAACTGTCAGCCAAATGACCTTAAGTCTAAGCGACCAAAATGCAAGCAGAGGACATACCATCCTTGTTTCTAAAGTTCTGCCTCGAGAAAATTCCCTAGAGAAGCAACTATGGCCTATCTCCTTTAAAAGAGGCAACGTGAAGAGGACAAAAAGTCACCTTCTACCACTTCTAACAAAAAACAGTGAAATTGAGACTGAATCAAACCAATCAATATCAAGAAAATAACCTGAGAAAATAGAAGGTGATATAGACTTTTAGAAAATATGAGGGTCATTTAATGTAACACACTAAAATGTCAAATATATATTATATAACAATTCAGTACTAAAAATTAAAATATTTAAAGGTCCAACATACTATATAAAGAACAAAAATGATACAATATGGGAGAACTTGAGATGGAAACATTTACTTAAATCTCATGTTTCTCATCTTTTAGTAGATGATATGGAGTTTTCAGTCCTAGATGCACCAAAGCCAGGAGCCTAGAGGTGGGGTTGTGGCTCAGTGGTAGAGCACTTGCCTAGCATGTGTGAGGCACTGGGTTTGATCCCCAGCACTACATAAAAATAAACAAATAAAAGTATTTACAACTAAAAAAATTTGTAAAAAAATGAAGGCAAATAGACTATTAAAGATATTGAAATACAATGTTCATATCTGTAGATTTTATAAATTCACTTTAAAAGTTGCAATAATGATAAGCCCATTAATTTGAGCTCTCAAAACAGCAAAACAAGCAAATGATAATTTAGTACTAGAATCATTAATAAGCAACATATTTAATATATAAGCTCTATAAGTAAGCAAAATTTAAAAAATTTTTATAAGCCATTCTCAAGAACATAAAATTCTGAAATAACTAAATGTGTTGGTGCATCTGTTATATTAAATATTTTTTAATTTATATTTAATAAGTAGTTACTTATATAAATAAGTAAATACTGAAATTTATAAGTCGTGGAGGTATGTACATTTTTTCAGGATAAAATTTATATAAATTTTAATATCAGGTTCATTAAGTAATAAACTGTGTCCCTAAGACAATTTTCTCAAAAAATTTTAAAAGGAAAGTTTTGACCTTTTCAAATCACAAAGGTCAACACTGGTCTTTAATACTCTTTGAATTAAAGTGCTCTTGGAAAGATGAAATTTAGGTACACAACTCCTAAAAACTATGCCTTTTGAACTTTGCTGGTAAGAACTCTAAGCCTGTCAAGACAAATCTCCCCTACATCAAAAAGTGTAGGAAAACGGTTCTACTTTAAGTAAGATATCATAAGACAATCTCATAATTACATGTATTAACTCTTGCCAAAAAAATAAGAGATTTTTAAAATAAATAAATACCTGTATTACTGCAAGACACCAGCGACTTAGAATGTAGGAATAAGACTGGGAGTGTGTTCATTAAGGAGAGAACCCACCCTACCAACAAGCCTGCTGGAAACATCATAACTGAACATATATTATTGAGAGCATCTAAAGAGACCAGCTACTCCCTCAGACATTAATAAAAAGTTTTGTAACAGAAAATGTCAAATATCCAAAAGGAGAGGGAAAAGAAAAGTGGGTCCATGTAACAAAACTGAGGAAAAACCTAAATAAATCATCTAGAGTTAACCTGCTTCACCTGCTCGTAGTTGCTGTATTTAGTTGAATTTTTAAAATTACCAGTTTTAGAGATCCATTCCACCTGTGGGTCATGATGGTGACACCTGATACAGCTGGATGACCCATGCCCTGACCCTTGATGACTTCTTAAACTCTAAATCAC